ACACATGTGATAGAAGACATCCAACTTGTCTCCATGATGACCGAACTAAGGATGCAAGACGCCAATCAAAGACAAACAAGACAAGAAGCTGTGATGAGTCAATTGAGAGAAAGACAGACTGTTCACAAATTGCCAATGATGCACCACAAGCAAATGAAGCAACAGCTCACAGAATTTTGCAAAATGATGAAGCGACTCATACATCTTCCATCATCCCGGTGTGGGTGTCTACCAAGAATGAACCAGAGCATGAAGTTCTTGTGTATGCGCTCCTTGATACACAAAGTGACACAACATTCATACTTGCAAAAACCGCAAAGGCTCTACATGCGACAAGTAAACCAGTCCAGTTAAAGCTCACAACAATGTCCACAAGAAACGCAGTAGTATCCTGCCACAAATTATCTGGTTTGCAAGTGAGAGGATTTTACTCAAATAAATTAATTCCTCTACCAGTTACATATTCAAGAACCTTCATTCCAGCCAATATAGACCACATTCCCACTCCTGAAACAGCCAAGGTGTGGCCTCATCTTGAACACATTGCAAATGAAATCGCTCCATTACAAGGTTGCGATGTGGGCCTTTTAATTGGCTACAACTGTTCCCAAGCTCTTGTTCCTCGACAAGTCTTGACTGGCAAGGAAGACCAACCGTTTGGACTAAAAACGGACCTGGGATGGAGTATAGTGGGCTTCGGCAATCCATGTCTTGATTATGGAGATGCTATTGGATTAAGTCACCGAATCATTGTGAAGCAAGTCATGCCAAGCATTAAATCTTCTTCGAATCTGTCGAGTGAAGTACACTATGTGAACAGAACTCAAATAAAGGAAATTGTCTCACCTGCAGACGTCATCAAGATGTTGGAGTCAGATTTTGTTGAGAAAGCTTCAGAGGACATAAAAATGTCTCAAGAAGATATCAGATTTATGACAAAATTGAAAGAAAGTATCAAACATAAGGATAATGGCCATTATGAGATGCCCCTGCCATTCAAGACTGAAAAACCTGATTTACCCAACAACAAAGAATGCGCCATTCATCGGCTCAGATGTTTGGAAAGAAAGCTAAGAAGAAACAAGCAGTACTACATGGATTATAAGAAATTCATGGAGGAAATCATAGCCCATGGAGATGCTGAAAGAGTTCCAGAAAGGGACGTTGACAAGAAACAGGCCTGGTATATCCCACACCACGGTGTGTATCATCCGCAAAAACCCCAAAGAATTCGTGTTGTTTTTGATGCTTCTGCCAAGTTTCGGGGGACCTGCTTAAATGATCATCTATTGACAGGCCCAGAGCTAACAAACAGCTTGCTTGGTGTATTGTGTCGCTTCCGCAAGGGCCCCGTGGCTATTATGTGCGATATTGAACGTATGTTCCATCAGTTTCATGTGTGTGCCAACGACCAAGATTACCTAAGATTTTTGTGGTGGGAGGACGGCAAGCTTGAAACTCCATTTGCCGTTTATAGGATGAAGGTACATCCCTTTGGTGCAGCTTCCTCCCCTGGTTGTGCCAATTATGGGCTTAAGTACCTGGCTTCTGAAGGTGAAGGACACTTCAGTGACGACACAATCAAGTTCATCAAAACTAACTTCTACGTTGATGATGGATTGGCAAGTGTTGAGACTGAAGGTCAAGCTATAGCGCTGATACAAGAGGCACGGAAGTTATGCAGCAAAGGCAAACTTCGGTTGCACAAATTTGTCTCCAACAGCGCAAAGGTCCTAGCTACACTTCCAAAGGAAGAGTGTGCTGTAGCTGTCAAAGACTTGGATGTGGCACCAGGTGAAATGCGCATAGAAAGAGCACTTGGTGTACAATGGTGTGTGGAATCAGATCAGTTTCAGTTTAGGATTGTTGTCAAGAAAAATCCATTCACCCGAAGAGGAGTTTTATCTAGTCGCCTCTGTGTTTGACCCGCTCGGATTTGTGTCGCCGTTTATCCTGAAAGGAAAGCAGATCCTTCAACAAATGTGCCGTGATAAACTTTGCTGGGATGACGCTTTACCAGACAGTCTTGGACCTCAATGGGAATCATGGCTGTTTGACTTGCAGAACCTGGCAAATCTCAAGATCCAAAGGTGTTACATACCGCCAGACTTCAAGGTGCAGCACCACGAGTTGCACCACTTCTCTGATGCAAGTGCATCTGGTTATGGCATGTGTTCCTACCTCAGATCGGTAAGCATGTCTGGCCAAGTTCATTGTTCCTTAGTGATGGGAAGATCAAGAGTACCACCATCTAAAGTGACAACGATACCTCGACTTGAGTTATCTGCAGCAGTAGTCGCTGTTCGCATCGGTGACATGTTAAAAGGGGAGCTGGGAGTCACATTGTCAAGCGAAACATACTGGACAGATTCGAAAGTTGTACTTGGGTACATCAACAACGAGGCCAGAAGATTCCATGTATTTGTTGCAAATCGTGTAGAACGTATCAAACAAAGTACCGAGTCAAAACAATGGAGTTATGTGGTCTCTGAAGAGAATCCGGCGGACCATGCCTCAAGAGGCCTGACAGCGAAGGAACTAATAACATCAAATTGGTTCACAGGCCCTGGTCTTCTCTGGCAGAAAGTTGTACCCAGTGGTGAAATCAAGGTGGGAGAGATTTCAGTTAGTGACCCAGAAGTTAAAAAGGTTTCAGTCCTCAATACGCAAGCTAATGAACAAAGGTCACTTCTAGATCGCCTGCAGAAGTTCTCTGACTGGTTCAGAATGATCAAAGCTGTTGCCAGGCTGAAGCGCTTCCTAAAAAATGCAAAGAACAACATTAAAGGTTCAAGTCAACCTTGCACGTTTGAAGACAGGAAAGAGGCAGAGTTAACGGTCATAAAGATGATCCAAGAAAGGGCATTTCCACAAATCATGCAATCACTTCAACCTCCAATTATAATACGGACTAAAGATAAAGCCAAGAAACTACACAAGTTATGCCCATTTAAAGATGCCCAAGGTATTCTTCGTGTAGGAGGACGCCTCACACATGCTACCTTGGATCCCAACATTAAACATCCAGTGATCCTGCCAAGAGACAGTCATGTTTCAGTATTGCTTGCGAAACATTACCACGAAAGGACACACCATCAAGGTCGAGGAATTACGACAAATGCAATCCGTGCTAATGGCTATTGGATTCTCGGTTGCAGCAAAGTTGTCGCATCTATCATCTTCAGATGTGTGAAGTGCCGAAGATTTAGAAGAGAGACAGAGCAGCAAAGAATGGCAGATCTCCCAGAGGAAAGAATGGAAATCAGCCCACCATTCACATATTGTGGAATGGACTGTTTCGGTCCTTTCTATATCAAGGAAGGTAGAAAGGAGTTGAAGCGCTATGGCTTGTTAATCACCTGTATGTGCTCCCGAGCAATACATATTGAAATGCTTGATGATTTAACCACTGATGCTTTCATCAATGCCCTTCGTGCATTCATCGCTATTCGAGGTGCGGTACGGCAGATAAGGTGTGATCAAGGAACAAACTTTGTCGGTGCCAAAAATGAATTTGTTGAAGCTCTGAAGGAAATGGATCAAACCAAACTGGACAAACTGGAATGCGAATTTCTCATGAACACCCCGGCATCAAGTCACATGGGTGGTGTCTGGGAAAGACAAATTCGAACCATAAGAAGTGTGCTCATGGCCATCCTTGATCAATCATCCAAACAACTTGACAGCTCTTCCTTGCGTACGTTCTTGTATGAAGTTATGACAGTTGTCAACAGCAGACCACTTACAACCGACCATCTTTATGACCCATCTAGCCCAGAACCCTTGACACCAAACCACATACTCACGATGAAATCCACAATTATTGCGCCACCTCCAGGAAAATTTGTTCAGGAGGATCTTTATCTCCGGAAGAGGTGGCGTCGTGTTCAAGTCTTGGCAAATACCTTCTGGACAAGGTGGAGAAGGGAATATGTGTTGAATCTTCAAAGCAGACAAAAATGGACTAAGGAACGCAGAGATGCTAAAGTCAATGACATTGTGCTCTTACAAGATGACTCAAGCCCACGTAACCAATGGAAATTGGCAAAGACCGTTGAAGTATATCCTGGACACGATGGAAGAGTTAGGAAAGTGAAACTACTTGTGAGTGATTCAACTTTGGACGGCAGTGGAAAACCCAAAAGCAAACCTATTTACTTGGAAAGACCTATTCAAAGGACGGTGACTCTTTTAGAAGCAGAATGAAGGCTTTGACATCACTCGCTGCCATTAAAATACATTATAATTAGTAATCGAAGTTCAAAGAAAT